TGTAAGAACTGAGTTTTCCTATGAGTGTTATTTTGAAAGAAAGCAAAGGATTAGAATTAGTGCTGTCCCTCTGTTCTTCTCCCCTTCTGAAGATTTTGAGATTCCATAAGAGATCCAGGTTGCAGAACACTGATTATTCATTCCATATTTTCCCCATTCAAGCCATTCTTCCCAGAAATAAGGTTGGGTTTTTTTTTTTGCCTTATCCTTGCCCTCAAAACAGCTCTCCTAGACTCCTCAGTTTGCACCCCAGCTTTCCTTCCGTCGCGTAGAAATTTTGTATTACACAACCTTACAATCATTTCCATTGTTTCTTATTGCCATAGCAAGCACTGATGCTGAAGGACAGGGCTTTTGTCAAGGTGGATTCAGCATTGATTTTACTCAGGTATGGAAGTTATTTCTGCATGTTTCCTTCAATCTCAGAACTCCACAGTAGAGGGCAAAGTATCTGTAAAACCCAACCCCGGGCAGGGAAATCTACCAGAGGAACTTTACAAGCAACAGTTTATTGTTTCATTCCTATGGCCTTAAATACATACTTTGGTAAAGTTGCTGTGAACCATTGGCATCCTCAGGAGATGGGGGAGGGGGTTTGGATTAAAAAAGGCAAAATGGGCTCGTGACCATGCCATCAAAGCCCCTCCCTTTTTGCACCTGTATTGATATTGCATGCATGTGTAAAAGGTGGGAGAGTTTGATGGCACGGCCATGCTCCCGTCTTGTCTTTTTTGATGAAATTGTTTATTTTGTCCAGGATTGCATGGGAGAAAATCAGCAAAGATAATAAATGGCTAAAAAGAGATATGATGTTAATCCATTACTGGATCTTGTTCCTTTACACTTAGATGAGAACTTGGTTTAAAAAAAATTATCTTTGCTTTCATATTTTAAGCCATCTTCAGTGATGTTATTTCTGAAATTTTAATTTAAACTGCTGTGATACGTAAGAGATATTTACATATACAGGGAGACAGTGTGTGTATATTCTTCCATACGTACACACATTTGTCATTATAGTAACAGAAAATGTGTCCATCATAGACAGAAGCAGTGAATTTCAATGACCTAATACTAGAAAAGAAAGAGAAGAAGAAAGAATAGGATGTCATTTCTGTAAGCTCAGCTTGCCCTGTCCAAGGCAAAGCAGTACATTTGATATGCACAGAAAATTTATATCCCCCTTTGTAGTAAATGCATTAATTGAGGGATTGGGATTGTTAAGTAAACAATTGGCACGGTTGGGATGTATTTCCTACAAATTTAGAATTATATGAATGAGCCTTAGTGTTATCTTGGCTCATGTTCACTTCTTGTTTCTAACGGCGAGGAGCTCTTCAAAGATTTTTGCTTGCGTTCATCTGTGATTAATCTTAACCATGTGTTAGCCTGGAACACGCAAGGTTTGTTCAAGTCATAGCTTATTTAATCGCAGCATCCAAATAAAAGTGCAACGTTCAAACCAGAAATTAAATTTCGTAAAAATGTGGCCTGAGAAAACAAACCAGCATCAGGAACCAATGTGATCTTGACTTTTTTGATTAAACTTTACCATTCCCCAAGGATAGGCATCCATAGAGGCTTGCTGCTTTTATCAAAATGATGAGAGCAGTGTTACGCCACAAGTTCCATTCGTTTCAAATGTGTGTGCAACATCATGACACATGTACGAAAGGAGCAGTTTTTGCATTGTTTTTCTCTTTCTGCCTACTTTCATCGTTCTCCATGCCACAGCTGCCACTGACAATCGTTGGTGTAAACCTAGAAGTTGATGCTTCCGATCTTTTCCATCTCCTAATTATTTCCTGGAAGAGGATAGAAAAGGCAGGGCACTCACTTCTGGGCTTGAGCAAACTCATGTTCACACCCCTGAGTTATGGCTTAGCTTTGCAACTAATGCACACTATTAGTGTCTTAAACCATTCTTTATGGTGGGTGAGAATTATTATCTTTTTCTTTCAATAAGAGGATTGAGAAGGGAAAAATACATTTGCCTAACAGTGTCTATTCAATCAATGGGTAGCAATGAGATTTAAATGAGATGTGTTATGCAACATTTCCTAGAATTTTTTTTTTTTAATAATCACAGAACATTACAGAAATGTGAAACGAGGAAGTTGAAATACCACAGAATACGAATACACTTAACAATACGATGGGAAATAAAAACAAAAGTACTAGTATTAGATTGGCCAGAATTCTCTGTGAAGGAGATTATATGAAGTTCGAGTCATGTCTGAAAAAGCAAAAAAAAAAATATCTTTGATCAGACACAGTGGAGCAATCTTCAGTCATTGAATATTGTAACAATTTCAGCTTACTCTAGGTACTTATTTTCAGATATTACATTACAATAAAGAAACCTCTTTTTCTTTCTGTCTTTCCTCTCTAGAAAGACAGAGTTCTACTTGGAGGACCTGGAAGTTTTTATTGGCAAGGTAAAACATGGGATTTGGTGAATAAAATGACAGTTAAACTTAATTATTTACTTTTGGCCTGATATAAAACAAAAATGATTTTTTTTTTACTCCACAGAAAAAAATACTGCAAGTTCAAAGTAGCTGAAATAGAGATGTTATGAGCATGTTTGGTCTTTTTCCTATTGATCTTTCTTAGCTGTTTTTCTCCTATGAGGTGCCTGGTCCTCATAAGGCTATAAATAGCTGGAGAAGAGAAAATGCATTAACTTTAGTGGATTCCTTGTTTGTAAAGCAGAAATATCTTTTGGGGGCACCTGAATATTACAGAAATCCCAATATAAAATAACATTCCCTGGTGACAGGCAGTGCCCTAAACATATAATAAGTAAACAGTTATTATATTATTTACACATTCCTGAAATAGCTCAGTTTTTCAAATAGTAATGACCATTTACCGTATTTATCGGCGTATAACACGCACTTTTTCCCCCTGAAAATAGGGGGCAAATGATGTGTGCGTGTTATACGCCGATATACGGCCAGCCCGGGTAAATTCGGCCATATTCTTCAATACGGGCCGGCCCCAGCAGTTCCCCTCTCCTCTTTGTGTGTGTGTGTGTGTTTGTCTCTCTCTCTCTCAATTCTCC